CCGAATACGTCAAGGCACTCAACCGCCGCGCCAACGCCTACGAGCACCTGAAGATGTACGGCGAGGCCCTCCTCGACTTCACTGCTTCTTGCATCATCGATAGCTTCAAGAACGAGAGCAGTGCCCAGTCAGTCGAGCGCCTGCTTAAGAAGTTCGCCGAGCAGAAGGCTCAGGAGATGATGGCCAGCCGGCCCAACAAGCTTCCTAGTCACACTTTTGTCGGCAACTACCTCCAGAGCTTCCGCGTCAAGCCTCGTCCGGCTGGACTCGAGGACTCTGTGGCCTTGTCCGAGGAGACTGGCAAGGGACAACTCCAAGTCGGCCTGAGTGCTCTGGAGAAGAAGACTGGCGACGGATACGAGGAGGCCAGAGCGGCCTTTGAGAAGGCGTTGGAGTTGGGCGACCTGGGCGAATTCGAGGCTCTTGCTTACAACCTGCGCGGTACCTTCAGCTGTCTGCTCGGAAAGCACGACGATGCCATGGTCGACCTGACCAAGAGTATCGAGCTCGACCCTTCCATGACCCAGAGCTACATCAAGCGCGCCAGCATGAACCTCGAGCTTGGTGCCCCGGAGAAGGCCGCTGAGGACTTCGAGAAGGCCATGGAGCAGAACACCGAAGACCCTGATATCTACTACCACCGTGCTCAGCTCCACTTCATCAAGGGCGAATTCTCCGACGCCGCCAAGGACTACCAGAAGTCCATCGACTTGGACCGCGACTTCATCTTCTCTCACATCCAGCTTGGCGTGACTCAGTACAAGATGGGATCTATTGCATCATCTATGTCGACCTTCCGCCGCTGCATCAAGAACTTCAAGGAGGTTCCCGATGTGTACAACTACTACGGCGAGCTGCTTCTGGACCAGGGCAACTTCCAGGAGGCTATCGAGAAGTTCGACAGCGCCATCGAGATGGAGTCGAAGACGAAGCCCATGGCGATGAACGTCCTTCCTCTCATCAACAAGGCTCTGACCTTGTTCCAGTGGAAGCAAGACTTTGGTGAGGCCGAGAAGCTCTGCCAGAAGGCGCTCATTAGTAAGTTCAGACTACTCCATTGTACGAAGTGCAATTGCTGACCCTTGATAGTCGACCCCGAATGCGATATCGCCGTTGCCACCATGGCCCAGCTCCTTTTGCAGCAGGGCAAGGTCACCGAGGCGCTCAAGTACTTTGAGCGCGCTGCAGAGCTCGCCCGCACCGAGGGCGAGATCGTCAACGCCCTGTCCTATGCCGAGGCGACCCGCACGCAGCTCCAGGTCCAAGAGAAGTACCCCAAGCTGGCGGCAAAGCTTCAGGGCATCGGCCCGGGTGGCATGCCCCGGTAAAGGGCCAATGACGTCCTGAACACGAAACATGTAAAACTCACCTACGGCGGCGTGTAAGAAGAAAACAGCAGATCCCTTAGCAGATGGGGGAGCGGATAGCCAAGACAAAGGGCTCTTGGTTGATAATAGGGGAAAATATCAAGGCGGGCCAGCCGCCCACCTCGTTGAGTCGTTTTTTCTTTGGTCGGTGAGGGAGGCTTTGGGATAGGAGAGCAAAGTCCAAGGCTCCGTACGTACGGCTGGGGAGGCATTGGTTGAAACCCTTACGTTGTACATAATCCGACTTCCCTCACTCTACGTACATTGGTGAGAGCATTGTAGAAGTAGTCCACTGTCAATCATCTTTTTCCATTTCCATATTCCTTCTTGCATATGAGTCCATCGTATGTTGCCTTGGTGTCTCTATATAAGGAATACATACACGTTGCGGTGAAAGGACAGATTTGAAGCAAAAGAAGTCATATAACCACCCGCGCAACATGATACCCACCTTAGTTGCTCTTCAGGTTTACTGACGACCCCGCCGCAGGCACTATTCCACACTCACAAAAACATAGTTCGTGATCGAAAAACCACCAAAACAGCAAAAACCATAACACTTGCATAATCTTTACGACCCCCAGGGCCCAGGGGACCAAAAAGATGGACGATCTGGGAATCGAACCCAGGACCTACCGCATGCTAAGCGGTCATTATACCACTAAACCAATCGCCCAATGGAATGATCTAGCCCGGACTTGAACCGGAGACCTTCAGTGTGGCAGACGATGGAGAGGCCGTGAGAGACTTCTTTTCGAACTGTTAGACTGACGTGATAACCAACTACACCACCAGACCATGTTTTTGTTGAAGTCGGCGAGGGAAAAAGGTGACTAGGTATGACTGGGGTGTGGGGGTGACCATACGGGTTGGGCCAAATTGCGCGGGCGTTGCTGTGCGCTGCGTTGCGGTGTGGAATGTGAAGAAGTGGATGTGGTGGCATCGCGAGTGCAAATTTCGTTGGTGGGCGGGGCGGAAAGACCGGGGTGCGCCCGTGTTCCCAAACCCCGACAGGTTCTGGACCGGCCGGGTTCTCGCGTGGCTGCCATGGTTCGAATCGGGGATGAGGTGCTGATAGCCAGGGCAGGCCGGGTGGGCCAGAGCGGAGGGAGAGAAAGAAAAAAAAGCGGTTGAAGAATCTGAAGAGCGACTCGCCAAGGTCATGGGACATTTACAGGATGGGTCGGGAGCGGATCGATGCCATGCGAGTTCATAAAGTGTTCGCCATTGTGCGATACGTACAAGAGGGAAAAAGTGGTGGCCTCTCTCTCTTCCAGTCCACTCATGAAATCCAAAGGACTATGAAGTGGGAGGACAGACAGACGCGAAATAAATACAGATAAAAAAGTCCACTCCATATCCCCCCCCCCCCCCTTCCGTCTGATTGTGTGAAGAGTACGCGTACAATAAGTCAATCGTTGGTGGGGAATCAAGAGCCCGTCGTGTCTCCTATACGCGGCAGATGAAATAGAAAAAAAAGTCGTGGCGTCGTCGGAAAAGAGCTGGTTTTTGGGTTCGTGAGGCAGCGCGCGTGTGTGCTCCGCCATTTTTTGTGTCGCCCTTAATTAGTACCGTCCATTCGTCCGTGCCATGGTCATGAAATCTAAACAATCGTAGTGTTGCTCTTTTAGAAGTGCTGTCCCGTTTCCAATCATATGAGGGAGGTGCCGCAGCTGCCTCCCCATCCCATTACTTTCTCCGAATCGTCGTCATAGTGCAATTGCGCACATGCGCGTCCGATTGTTGTGATCACACCCGTTAATTCTTCTTGGTGAGAGCAACGCCCAGACCGACACCCAGCGCGATAGCAAGGATGATGAGTACGACAACGAGGAGGCACCACCACTTGAGCTTCTTGCGTCTGCGCGCGTGGTCCGTCGCAACCTTGACTTCTTCGTTGCCCTTTTGGATGTTTTCGACAGTCTGTTCTGCGTTCTGCTCGGCGGCTTGGACGACGGGCTCCTGCTGCTCGACCAAAGTGGCCAGTTCCTGGAAGAGTTGGCCGAGCTCCATCATAGTCTGTTCAATGCGCTGCAACTCGCTGTGGCGGGCTCTGACGTTGCCCAGAATAGTGTTGGCGTGGCCTGTCCGATTGGATTTGAGCTGGTTAAGTCATTAGCATACGGTGCCGACACGCCGAGAAAATCGGTCAAAAACAACAAAACATACCGCTGTTTGGAAAACACCTTCGTCACCCCAGTCCATCTGTGTCGCTTGCTCGACTTCATCTTCCGTCGCTTCCGGGTTGACGATGCGGTACTGGCGGGCAATTTGGTCGCGGTACCGTTTCTGGTAATCGCGCTCGATCTGCTGGTATTTTTCGAGTTCCGACTTGAAAGTGTTCTTCAAAGAGTTGAGCTGTGCGGTCTTGGTTGCGCGCGATCCGTCCTGTGTCTTGGATAGATCCCTCTCGAGGGCCTTGATGCCCTCCTTGACGCCGGTGTTGCGGATTTGCGTCGCGGAGACAGCCTGCTCAAGCTGGGCGCTGGTGCTGCCGTCGGGGGAACCGAGAGAGCGCTGGTGAAGCTGGGCAATGCCCTCAATATCGGAAGTCAGGCCATTGATTTCTGTGCGCAGTTGTTGGACCCGGGCGAGGAAATCTTGCTGGCTCAGAGTACGAGGCGCGGATTGCCCGGCATACTGGCCCGCCTCTCCGTACGGCTGCATCTCGTACTGGCCTTGGCCATATTGAGGCTATAATCCAAAGAAAGTCAGCGATATGGAATTGAGAGGGCATGTGCGGACTGAATTGAAGGGCGACGGACCTGTTGGTTGTCATAGCCGTATCCGCCCTCGGCCTGGGGGCCCTGGGCGTAGGGATTTTGGTTATACTGTTGGTACGACATGTCTGACTCAAAGCGACTGTCAATGCCGACGATAGACAGTGCGATTCGAACCGCAATTTATTGGGCGAGCGAGCAGAATTGAATGAGAGACTTCGGCGCTATATGGTGTGATTGAGCCGGCGGGCTCGTGAGATTGTTGTGGTGGTGCAAGGTGAAGGACCTTTCGGCTGATGTTTGGTTGTTAAATGACGTTGGACCTCCGACCGCTGACAGGAACTGGGAAGTGCTGGAGAGACGCTGAAATGACAATGAGGACGGGCCCAATCAGGCACCGGGACCTGTCAGAGCGGATACCCCGGGCTGTGTATATGGTTGGATGGAGTCGCTCGTGTACGGGGCGACAGTGGGCAGGATTGGCCGATCTGCTTTCCGGGGTCCCTTTTTTTTTCTTCTCGTTCCCTTCTTCCTGTTAAATTCGGACCAAGAGGAAACAGATAAACAAGCTTTACGAAGGAAATTATTTCTTTTAAAATGAACCCAGAGATGAGAAGGTACTTGAGGCTGTCCACCGCACCTTTCAGATCGTAGTCAGACTCGATACTTTACTCGATTCTCAAGACGTCGGCCGCGAACAGTGAAAGACTGGATGAAGCGAACACTAGGTCAGTGACATCAGAAGATGTTGCGCCGACGGGCGGGGCGAAGCTTATTATACCCGGGACGCATGTTATTCTCTGTAGCGGCAAGGTACCTCAGGGACAGACGGACGGACGGTCTCACCCACCCCCAGCGAGTCCCAAGGGTCTGTTTCCTTCTCTCACTAAAGGTGAGGTGGGCAGCAGTTGGGTCACACACACACACACACACACAGGTTACTTTTTAGGTGCTCTGCTCTGTGTCTGCCCACCGCCGTCCGACGGGCCTTTGGTGCTGGCTGGAGGCTGGAGGCTGGAGGCTGGAGCTGCCCCTCGTTCTCTCCGGGGGTCCGGCCAGGCCTGTCCGTTTCCTTCTCATTCCCGTCCTTTCCCATCCTCGCTTGGCGAGCAACGCCCAGCCACCCCGCTGCGGAAAAAGTGACGATTGACAGGTGAGCAGCAGAATCGCAATGGAATGGGGAGCGTTGCTGCGTAGAACATGGGTTGCTGAGTGGCGGCGACGGCAACGGCAGATGTCAAATCATGTCTGCGCCGCCAAAAATAGACCTTCAGACTCGGAATGCGGCTACAGCACAGTTTGGTTGGTGATTTTGAACCAATTGGCTCTAAGCTGCATCGCATACTGGACCCTTTCAGGTCCTACCTGATGCCAAAGCCGAGAAACGGCAGGCAGAAGCTCAAAGTCCGTCGGCTTGTTCGCTGACCACACTGGTCCCTAGCCCAGGAAATCGTCACCATTTTGTGGCTGTGCGAACACTTGCAGTTAACACACCTCAACGTTAACGTCCTAAGCCACTCGTTCCTCTTGCCGCGTATTAGGAGACATCCTCGGGCAGTGCTCAGTGCTGTACTGCCTCTATGATTACCCACTTCGCCTTTTCCTTCTGGCCCTCTACTCCGTACACCATGCTTCTATCGCACAAGGCGATCATAGGCGATGAAGGCCACACCGACGATTAGTCAATGAGAGCCACTACGACCAAAGTGCCTCCCACGGCTTCTGCGTACTTTCGGCCCGTATCCGTATTGCGCGTAGGTTCGTGGCGGGGCCTCCATGACACCGAACTCTGTAAGCGACCATTGGGACCATCTGATGTATTCCGTCCCATGCTCAACCTTCGCTCACTGAGATCTTGGCGTTACCACGCGCCAAGGCTGGCTGCTGCTTACCGTTCATTGGCTCGTAACAGCTATTGCAAAGAAAGATGCCCGTCTCCATCTCGAGGCGTCACCTAACCTTGTTGAATGGCATTGCACCCTACGAGCCGCGGCGAACTCGGTGGTATTAGTTGTCAACTCAATTCGTGGTCATGAGCCGCACTCCTCCAGCTACGGACGTCGACATGCTTTGTCATGAGCAAATCAACGGTAAGAACTCAATTGCCTGACTCTCAACGGCCGGCCACACTAATCGCAACCAATCGGATGTAATACTTATTATTCAACAACATTTTGATGCTTTTTTGCCTGCCTTGACTTGTCTTCTCCTGAAGCTTGGGAAGTCTCTGTTTTCTACACTCCACCATCTTGCCGTTGTAAGCCGCCAAGAAACTACGGCGTTCTGGCTTGGATATCTTTAGTTCAACATCGTTCTTCATCTTCCACTTCGTGTAGTCCCATGAGTGCCTTTGCCACGACTCTCTTCGTCTCACGTCCATCGACGTCGCTTGACCGGCGCCTGGGTATTGTGGCTTCATTGAAACCCGCGTCCTCGTTACCTATGGCTCCGTTTCGTGGCGCACTGGTTGACAAGTCCTGTTCGTCGTTGCGGCATTTCGCCCACGCAACGAGCCGATCTTCTGGGCGCTGATCGTAATGTACTTGCCCCATGATCTCTCACGGCAGCGACGCCTAAGCCTTCGACCGCATCTGTCATGTCGGTTCTCTCCGGTGGCCCTCTCTCACAGGTACTCCTTCTTTCTACCAGTACGAGTGTACTGTGTAAGGTGCCACTCAACATCGCCATCCTTGTTTTCCAAGGTTCCACCGCGAATCTCGAAGGGGCGCATCGTCATCCGAGGTCCAACCTCAGCGAGCTCGACAGAATCGTACGAAGTCCGGACAAAAACGTGACTACCAAGGGGTTAGCAAAGGTCTGGCGGGGATCGGAGCTTCGGATGAGCTTACTGTCTGACTTCAATGGAGTCTTCATTGTTCACAAATGTCACTACCCTTGACCCTACCTTAGCCTTGGTGGTCGGGGGATCGAGCGGAGGGAAAAGATGTTTCAGGATCTTCACGATCCGCTGTCCAAGCCGGCTGAAGAGTTGATTGATGATTAGTGACCGTCGAACGACCTCCGAAGCCGATATCTCATACCTCTTGAAACCCTCAAATATTAACCGTGGGAAAGCCTCTGAGACGGATCCTCTGATACTTCCGGGTATATCTGCTCTGAGTACAACGTTGTGGAGCGACATGGATAGCGTAGGGCCGTGGGGAAGATGAGAAATGCTGTTAGAGAGGTTCGTCAGCTGGTGGCTCTTCTTGGATTCAATATAAAGTGCGTACGTCATGGCAGTCGGTACACCGCGATGTTCGTGAAGGAGGACAATGTCTGTGAGCCCGTTGGACTTGCTAGACTGCACAATGTCCGGAAGAATCAAATTTCCACGATTGAGCCGAACGGATGTAGGGAAGAGCAATCTGATCTCTTTGGAGAAGGCTGAAAGCCTTGAGGACGGGTCTCTTGAAGTCTGAAAGGGTGAGCTTCTACTTATGTGCCTGGATTGGAAGAGCAGAATAAACTAACTGTAACCAAAAGCCGTGGCTCCGAGATTCCCGACAGCTGGGAGTATTCGTCGTCGAGATCCATCTCTTCATCGACTGTTCGATCGGGTCGCGACTCGTCATATTGGTAGTCTTTCCGCAGTGCCTTGTTCTTTGCGATTTCGGGGTCGATGGGCTTGCCAGAAGCAAGAGCAGATCGTAGCTGGGCGCGCTTCTCGGTCGTCTCCGCCTCTTTCAATATAAGCGCCTTGCGATAGAGGTAGTCGCGCCGTTGTCGGGCCTGTTTCCGGATCATGTTGGGCTGTTGGTATGCGAGATGGTGGGATGTCAATGCTAGAGTTCCGCAATACATCCAACGTACCTTGGACAGGCTGATCGAGAAAAAAAAACCTTATCAGGTGGCAGGTATCCACTTTCAAGCACCCCAATGTGACAGTCACGTGGTGATAAGCTACATCCCACCAAAACACCACCCTTTCGCCGCTGCTCTGTCGGGCCTGGGATCTTTCTTGGGTGTTTGGATTCACCAACGAAAAGGCACGCAACCACTCCCGACAAGTCTCTGCCCCGTTGGTGTACCTTTGAGGTTTCCGCACGAATCCCCCAACTTCACATACCGATATGATGTGACCTTCCCCCTCCCCGATCCACCTCGAATCCCCCTTCCGTACGACCTGAGCCTACTGAGGCTCTGCGACGCCGAACCATTCGAGAACCATAAAGAAGCTGAAGTAAGTTGCGCATTCTCCATAACACCAAAACGATGCCCCCGACACCACCGCCGGCACATGCAAAGGCATTTCTACAGTTACATCGTATGCGACAGCCCACTGACACTCTTGGAAGGGAGATCAGCAGAGAGAAGTAGAAATCCGGAATACCGCGAATATGGAGAGCGCCTTCAAGAATCTCGGGAACCACCTAGTTTCCGACAGCGCCGCTGCGATCAAGGCAGGTGACGATGTCTTGACCGGTATCGATGCCGACGAGAGCCTTCTCTACGGCAAATTTGGCGGCCGCGACGGTCGCCGCCGTGCCGACGATGACGACAACCAAACCGAGCTTTACGATGATGACGATGTGGACAGCCTGACTAGCATGCCTGTTGGGGCTATGAAGGATCTCAATATCGGAAGACCCAAGGAGGAAGATAGGAAGCTTCCCCCTCACGCTTGCGCGTATGGCATGCCTCCGAGCTTCCGAGCCCTCTCTTGAATCTAACACTGGCTTAGGTATTGTGGAATTCATTCCCCGAGCTCCGTCGTCAAGTGCCTTGGCTGCAACAAGTGGTTCTGCAGTGCCCGCGGAAATGCTACCTCAAGCCACATTGTTTCCCATCTGGTCCGGGCGAGACACAAGGAAGTCCAGCTTCACCCGGAATCTACCCTGGGTGATACTGTACTCGAGTGCTACAACTGTGGAACCAAGAACGTCTTTCTCTTGGGCTTCATTCCTGCCAAGTCGGATACCGTTGTCGTGCTGCTTTGTCGTCAGCCTTGTGCTGCAAACACCTCTTCCAAGGATATGAGCTGGGACACCTCTCGATGGCAGCCCCTGATTGAGGAGAGAGCTTTCTTGACCTGGCTCGTCGCGACGCCCTCCGATGCCGAGCAACTCCGCGCCAGACACCTCACCCCGCCGATGATTGCCAAGCTGGAGGAGATGTGGAAGGAAAATGCGACTGCTACGGTTGCCGACCTTGAGAAGGCTGCTAGCATCGACGACGACCCTCATCCCGTCCTCCTCAAGTACGACGACCCTTATCACTACCAGAACATTTTTGGCCCGCTCGTCAAGATGGAATCCGACTACGACAAGAAGCTCAAGGAAGCTCAGTCTGAGGATGGACTCACGGTCCGCTGGGATTACGGTCTGAACAACAAGCACCTGGTCAGCTTTGAACTGCACAAGATAGAGTCGGGTGACGTCAAGCTGGCGGTTGGCGACGAAATGCGACTACGTTACAAGGGCGAGCTCCGCCCTGCCTGGGAGGGAGTTGGCTATGTCATCAAGATCCCCAACAATCAGTCTGACGAAGTCACCCTCGAGCTGCGTAAGGCCGGCAACGAGAAGACTGTCCCGACTGAATGCACCCACAACTTCTCAGCAGACTATGTCTGGAAGGCTACCTCGTATGATCGCATGCAGTATGCCATGAAGACTTTCGCCGTGGACGACATGAGTGTCTCGGGTTACATTTTCCACAAGCTCCTGGGTCACGACGTCGCTGTTGCGCCGATGAAGACGACTATGCCTAAGAAGTACAGCGTCCCTGGCCTTCCCGACCTCAATACCAGCCAGATCGCCGCCATTAAGGCTGTGCTGTCGACCCCGCTCAGCTTGATTCAGGGACCTCCGGGCACTGGCAAGACTGTCACTTCGGCGACCATCATCTACCATCTGTGCAAGATGAATAATGGACAAGTCCTCGTGTGCGCGCCCTCCAACGTCGCTGTCGACCAGCTCTGTGAGCGCATCCACCGCACTGGCCTCAAGGTCGTTCGTCTTACAGCCAAGTCCCGAGAGGATGTGGAGTCCTCCGTGAGCTTCCTTGCTCTTCATGAACAGGTTCGTATGAATGACAGCAATGGTGAGCTTGTCAAGCTTGCGCAGCTGAAGACCGAGCTTGGCGAACTGTCCAGCCAGGACGAGAAGAAGTTCAAGCAGCTCACCAAGGCCGCCGAAAGAGACATTCTACACAACGCAGATGTCGTCTGCTGCACTTGTGTCGGTGCCGGTGATCCTCGTCTGTCAAAGATGAAGTTCCGTAATGTCCTTATCGACGAGTCGACTCAATCGGCTGAGCCCGAGTGTATGATTCCTCTCGTTCTCGGATGCAAGCAAGTTGTCCTCGTTGGTGACCACAAGCAATTGGGCCCTGTCATCATGAACAAGAAGGCTGCCAAGGCTGGTCTCAACCAGTCCTTGTTCGAGCGCCTCGTCAACTTGCGCTTGGTTCCCATTCGCCTCAACATCCAGTACCGCATGCATCCTTGCTTGTCCGAGTTCCCTTCCAACATGTTCTACGATGGATCTCTCCAGAACGGTGTTACAGTCAAGGATCGCGTTCGCCGCGATGTCGACTTCCCTTGGCCTGTTGTTGATATGCCGATGATGTTCTGGTCCAATCTTGGCAATGAGGAAATCTCGGCATCCGGAACGTCCTACCTCAACCGTACCGAAGCCTCCAACGTGGAGAAGGTTGTAACCCGCTTCTTCAAGGCCGGCGTAAAGCCTTTGGACATTGGTGTTATTACTCCGTACGAGGGTCAGCGAAGCTACATCGTTAGCACCATGCAGAACACTGGCACATTTAAGAAGGAGAGCTACAAGGAAGTCGAGGTTGCCTCCGTTGACGCCTTCCAGGGTCGTGAGAAGGACTTCATTGTTCTGTCCTGTGTTCGTTCCAACGACAACCAGGGCATCGGTTTCCTTTCAGATCCCCGCCGTCTCAACGTCGCCTTGACTCGTGCCAAGTACGGTCTCGTCATTATTGGTAACCCCAAGGTCCTTTCCAAGCATGAGCTTTGGCACCACCTCCTTGTCCACTTCAAGGACCGCAAGTGCTTGGTTGAGGGGCCTTTGACCAATTTGCAGACCTCGCTCTTGCAATTCGGAAAGCCCAAGACAGCATATCGCCAGAAGATGAGCCAGGCCCCTCAATTTAATGCCGGTGGCGGGTTCCCCAACGGCGGCGGCAACCGCTTCAACGGTGCTGGCTCCACTCGCGATTTCGACTCGGGATCTATGATGTCCTACATTCCCGACGACGTCTCCTCCATCCATAGCTCTCTGGGCGGTGCCGGCTTGAACACCACTTACCCTCCCATCTTCTCGAGCTTCACCCCTGATCAATGGCCTGGCCTCCCTGGAGTGCCCGGATCCAGCCGCTCCGGCATCAAGAGAGGAGGTCGCGCCACTGAGAGCATTGCGGGCGAAAGCGTCGCAAACTCTGAGTACACAGATGCTAGCGCCAGCGTCATCGGTGCCAAGGGTGTTGGACAGGGCGGTGTCAGCCTGGGCGCCGGTCTCCAGGACGCCATACACGGTATGCGCCCTGCGTCCTACAGCCACAGCGACCGCCTGAAGCATTATGTCGAGAGTGGCGGTCGCATGGGAGCCGGCAATGGCTTCGGCCGTCGCTACGACGACGACGAGAAGAGCGTCAGCACCGCCTTCCACAGCCAGATTGGTGGCGGCTTCGACTGAGTGCCGAGATGGATTGGGACAGGGACTTGCTTTACCAAACCCAAGGGTTACTTATACCTCATCCTCTGAAGGCTTCAGCCCTCGCCGCACCATGCTCGGTGCTGTACACAGGAACAGGCAGTGTGCCTGAGCCTAGAGGCGTCTCGGAATACCGGCTCCGGTCATTGAGAATCACTCCACGTGGTCGACCATTCGGCTTCCAACGACGACAACGACGTGCCGCAGGCGGGTCATGGCCCGACCAGCGAGAGCTGCAACCGACGGAGGGGGTCGCACGCGCGCCCTCAACGGCCCGTACTTTGCAGATTGTCAATCAGAGAGATGTCGAGTGTTAGCAAGGGGATGAGATCTGGCGGGGATAGGAGGTTATGCTCAGGCGGAGGACACGGGTCAGCGTCTGAGGAGGCAACTCAAAATGCGGTCGAGCATTAAGGTCTCAGAAGCGATAAGTCTTCTATGGCACAGTGCAATTACTGCGAGGAAGCCCACGGCAGATGTCATGCAGTTTCTATGCTGCACGCAGAAAGCGCACTACGAGATCCAGCTTAGAGTTTAGCTTCTTAGTTTAATCACCGTCTTTATTTGCACCTTGTGCTCTGCCCCCCGGTTGCGCTAATCATCGCGAGACTAAGGTACCCTCCCAGTATTCTTATCCACCGGCCTGGCCGGGCCGGAGAGGTAAGCTTGTCAATATGGCACACGCGGACCCTGTGTTCCTCAAGTATCGGATATACTCCGAATTCAGGTACCTTTTCGAAGTAAGTGCCGTGGTGCCTTGCTTATTACGGAGTACTTGTTTGGATTCAAAGGGTAGAAGAACTGTATCCTCTTTTTTTCCTTGCTGATGGCGTAGCATCAGCCAATCCATTGATAGACAGGGGGCAGGCTCCGGCACCCCACAGACTTGAAAATAGATTGGCAGCCGTGGCAGCGACGGGGGGCCACCCATGTCTAAGCGCGGGAGCCTCACCCAATCTGACAACGACAAGCAGGTCACCACCCCCTGACAGTCCTGACGGACATGCGTTCTTCGCGAGAACGGGCCATCTGATGGGAGGTCCACTATGACGATCCGTCTGATTCTTG